GCAAATTTTAATTAGTGTCAAAATAGAATTCATTAGGTTTGCCAATTCCAAGTAGGTATGGCAAAATGTGAAACAACTTCAATATGTTGGAAAAATTGTAGACAACTGATACAGGGTACTTTTAAGAATGGCCAGGTCAAATGGTCACCTCACTATTTTAATTCAAAATTTTTGTCAATCTTCACAATAGCCTTTTCTAGGTTAAAAAACAAAAATAACCTAAAGTTGTTTATAAAATTACAATGACATAATTTTGTTTTAAAAGACAAATATATCTTTAAGTTACAAATTAAAAAATCAAACATTTTTCATTTCTTAATATTTAACTACTTTATTTAATTATTTTTTTAAAACACTTACTTCAATAAAAAAATTAATATTTAATTTAATTACTTCTTAAAATATTCACAAAACTTCAATAAAAAAAATTAATATTTAACTTAATTTATTCTTAAAATATTCAAAAAAATAAATAAAAATGAAATCGAAAAAGTCTTCCGAGCAATCCGGATCCGAACTCATGTGGTTTGTAACGGACCATGATCCGGACTCGGACCGTCTGGGTCCGGGGGGACTGGCCCGGAATTTTTATTTTTTTATTTAGAGAACAAAATTTGAATCTTATAATTTTTTTTAAAAAAATTCTAATCTAATTTGTTTCCCATAATTTATTTTTCATTTTTTTCTTCTTTTAATTTTTTTGCTCATTCATGTATGTATTTTTATTCCTTGAATTTAATTTATTTTTCATTAATTTAATTCAATTTATGTATTATTTAATTTTTATTTACTTTTTTTAATGTGCGAGGAAATAATTTTATTTCTTACGTACTAATACATTTAATTTGATTTGTTAAATTTTAAAATATAATAAATGTTGATAATTTCTTATAAATGTTTTTAACATGTATTATTTTTACAGAATGAAGTACCACCTAGACAATATCATGAGAGCTCATTTTGAGAAAAATTACGTTGTATCGGTATTGAAAGGACTCGATAAGGAACATATAGCCATATTCCGTCGATCATTCCTTTTGTCTTTCTATCCTTTGAAGGACATGCAATTTTTCGCCCAGATTATTAATTCCTTATTATTTTGGCTTCGAAAGCCAGTCGATGTCGATCAATCTTTGAATACAATTGTAACTAAATAATTAATTAAATAAACAAAATAATCAATGAAATATTTAAAGAAGAAATTAAATTAAATATTAATTTTTGATTTCAGTAAGTCTTTAAAATAAATAATTAAATAAAGTAATTATGATCTTGTCTGATTACGATTCTATGAGCAAATTAGAAGACTGTACTCAATTCAGTATAGGAACTCCCACCAAACTCATGTCTCTATCTGATTACGATCCTGTGAACAAAATTTGTGTGTAATAATGAGATCGCGGTGAGTAACAATTATCTCAAGAATAATGTTTACATGTGAAGGATTGATATGGTTTCGGCTTACTGGGAATTAGAACTAGTACATTTTCTAACTATTTTATGAAAGTAAAAGGTAGTATTGGTTATGTATATTGTTCATTTAATATTTAATTACTTTATTTAATCACTAATTTAAATAAAATTAATATTTATTTTAATTTCTTATTTAAATATTTTTTTAATTAATTGTCTTAATTAGCTATGTATATTATTTATTTATTGTTTAATTATTTATTTAATCTAGTTAATTTAAAAAAATTAATATTTAAATTAATTTCTTATTTAGATATTTCATTAATTAATTATCTTAATTGGTTATGTATATTATGCATTTAAAATTTAATTACTTTATTGAATTATTTATTTAAATAAAAGAATTAATATTTATTTTAATTCTTATTTAAATATTTCATTAATTAATTATCTTAATTAATTATGTATATTCTTTTCCCTTCTCTCTCTTTCCATCCGAGGGCAGCTTCCTATTGAGCCTAGAGATGACAATAAATCGAGCCGAGTCGACTCGGCTCTTTAACCCACAAACTCGACTCGGGCTCATAACGGGTCGGGCTCATGGCTCGTGAGAGGCGAGTCGAGCTTGGGCTCGGCTCGTTGCTCGATGGCGAGCTCTGCTGGGGCCACGAGGTCTTGAGGTCAAGAGTCACGAGTTATCGGGCCGAGTCGAGCCCACGAGTAGCTCGCGAGCTCGTGATTTTTTAAAAAAAAATTATATTTTTTGACGATGCTTGTGGGCTGGAGGCTCGGCTCGTGGGATTGAGCTCCCTACTTGGCTCGGGCTCGTCATTTGACAAGTCCGAGCAGCCCACGAGCCGGGTTTTAACGAGTCAAGGAGTCGCTCGGTCCGCTTGACATCCCTAGTTGAGCCCCGTTTGGCTCTCATTCTTTCCAAATTTTAATGGTTGAAATAGTATTTTTAGAAAAGTGCGTGATTGAAAAAAGTGAAAAAAAAATTAATTTGCGTGTAATATTATTTTTATAAAAGATTATAGGTTGAAAATAAAAGAGATAAAAAAAAAAATGGGGCCAAACGGGGCTAATTCACACTGTTGAGTTAGACACAGCACTTATTTCATCTTCCACGCTCTTTCGCTACAAGTATTATTGGCTATGCTCATTGCCTTGACCTTCCTGTACTTATTTCGGCCTCTGGATCAACCGGTTATTATTGGTAGATGTACGTTTTCTTTTCTTGGTTTTTCTCTAAATTTTCTTCAATTTCTTGAGAACCCCATGTTGGATTTTTATTTTTATTTTTTTACTATTTATTTTTTTGGACGCAAATGTGGATTGAGCAAAACGGGTCTGGTAGGATTTTCACGATTTGCTATTCGATTGCATGAAGGAAATAATTTCCAGTTTTCGCTTATAATTATTCCTTGGGTTACCTTTCTTATTTGATTTTTCGTTTTTAATTTGTTCAAAATTCCTTGGTTTCAGCTGTATAAGGGATTATTTATGACTTAAGAGGCTGTTTTAGTAAGAAAATTAGAATTTTTTTCGTTTTTTATTTCCCTATTTGGAACTGTCAATTTCTTATATACTAGTCAAAATTGAACGTGTATTGCACGTGAATTTGTAAGTGAGGTAAAGATAATATTTAACTATTAAGTGGTTAAATATATTTTCATAAATAAGTACACGTGAGTTTTATAAATCCCCCGACTAGGATTTAAAGTTAATATATTTAATCAAGCAATCATTATTGTAATAACTAGAAATTTGAGTGACTAATTTCAGTTATATTTGTGTGAATTACCTATTGCGGCTGTCAACTGCATGAATTTATTACATTTTGATCTTTTTCTTGACAATAAAAATTTGGTGGTTATCCGTAAAAGTTATGTTCTTTAATACTTTCCTTCCGTTCTTTACTCATTGTGCTTTCATGTGTGTTATCGAAAATTCGACTAAAGCAATCAAAAGAACAAATAAAATAAGTAGAAGAATAGAAAACAGTAGATGAAACGAGGTATGCCAAAACAAATCTTCTTAAGACAGATTTCGCCCCCCAATGAAGTACAAACGGGATTATGGACGTCTGTCTCCCAAGATACAACGTTCATTCCAAAGTCGATACTACACAATACCAATCTTGTCGGCCGAACTAATGGATGATCGTACTCGAATGGAATAACCACGAAAATATAAGAGAATTTTTAAAGCAGAATATGGAGAGAGAAGAATTTAGAAATCAATTGAATTCGAAATTGATTTTGTGTTTTTTTCTAAAACGAATCTGGGGGTCTCTATTTATAGAGATTGAAGTGTCTCATGGAACAGGTATGTGACATTTCAGGAACTAGTGCACCACTTGGTCTGATTCGTCTTAGCCATTAGATCGCACTATTTTCATGATCTGACGGCCCAGATTGAACCATGAAGTGAAGTGTCCATTCATCATGCCTATTCACCAATTTCTTAACAGTCACAGCCATGTGGATGCCACGCATACACCTAACTGCCACGTAGGACGAAGGGACGCGACCTACACACTTGCGCCACCTAGAATGCCAACTCACCGAACCTTGCGCTGCCACGTCATCGAACCACGAGTCCATTTTCGAAAACTATAAGGCTCCCCAACTCCTCGCGACGATACGTACGTGCTAAGTGCCAAGTGCGCCTCTAAAGCGCCCAATGCGTACTTTACGACGTGCGCGTGCCGAGACTGAGACCGAGTCTGGGGAGCGGAGCGAGTGGTGACTAGCTTTTGGCTAGCTAAAGTTAGTCAAGTGGTAGGTAACTTATTAAATTATATATTATTCACACAACCCACTATATAAACAAGACTATTTTCTTATAAACTTTCGATGTGGAATTCCTTTCTATATATAAAACACTTAAAATGAGCTTATCAACATATGGACCTATATTGGAGATTTTTCCAATTCACCCAAATTAATTGTAATGACCCACATCATTAAATATTACATTTAATGTTTTAACCCAATTAAATTCAATTAACTCCAACAATCTCCCACATGAATGGAAGAAGTCGACTCAAATCAAGGAAGACGGAAGAAGAGTACTATCTAAAAGATAACGAATCAAGATAGGTAGCTTTCGCTTTGAACCTTCTTTAGTAAGAATCTATCGAACTCACTTAGCTAATCAGTGAACGCAACGTTTTGAACTGTCAACTAAAGTTAGCCAAGTGGTAGATAACTTATTAAATTATATATTATTCACACAACCCACTATATAAACAAGACTATTTTCTTGTAAACTTTCAATGTGAAATTCATTTCCATATATAAAACACTTAAAATGTGTTTATCAACATATGGGCCTATATTGGAGACTTTTTCAATTCACCCAAATTATTTGTAATGACCCACATCATTAAATATTACATTTAATGTTTTAAATCCAAATTAATTGCAATGGCCCACAACATTAAATATTATATTTAATGTTTTAACCCAATTAAATTCAATTAATTCCAACAATGTGTAATGTATTGGTAGTGAAAACTTTTCCTTATATAAACCCATACAGCGAATTCATTTCAAAACTGCGAGTATCTCTCCATAGCAAAAGATAAAGATACTGGAAATTCTCCTTGAAGCTTTCTTCTTCTTCTTCTTTTTTCCAAAAGTTGGTAACGAAGAACTTGAATTTAAGTCACACTAAGAAAATAAGAAAATGAAATTAAAAACGATAATGAAGAAGAATAGTTCAATTAGGTCAATTTTCATTCATGCAGATGGTTTTGATATTTTCTTGATGATTATGGGATTCTTGGGAGCAGCTGGTGATGGAATTTCGATTCTGTTAATGAAGTATATCACCGCAAAGCTGATGAACAATTTTGGTGCTGAGAATGCCTCAATCGTTAACTATTTCACGGAAGTCGTCAATCAGGTCTCTCCCTCTCTTCTTCTCTGCAGAATGGTTATTCTTGAACAACGCTTAAGGCAACCTAGCAACCCAGCCCAATTTTGCAATTTCCATTCGTATCTCCCCAATCCCAAATGAACCCTTAAGCGATCGACGGCGAAACAAAGGCGAATCGAAGGCCAGCGTCTCCGCCATCTCTCCATCCCATCTTCATCCATCTCCTCGAAGGCGTTCGGTCATTTTTTTCCTCAAGTCGTTCAGTGTTTTTTCGTCATTCAAACCCGCCACCGGCCAACCACCGTCTTCTCCAGCGAAATCTGCAGCCAAAATTAGGTGAGTGTGATACATGATTTACATGGGTATGTTGAAGCTGTTATTGTGTGTGGATTTACATACACTGCCAAATTTTTGGATTTTTGAATTTCCATTTTCAATCCAAAATTTGAATTTTCAATTACAACCCACCGTCTTCTTGAATTTTGATTATATTTTACTATATGAACATTTTGATTATGAGTAATGTTTCTCTACTTTCTTATGATTTTATATATAATTCAAAAGTTGTATTTTTTTGGATAGTTATTAACCATTTTATCAGAATCTTAAATTGTTAAGAAATAGACCAATGCATTCATAAATCTAGCCTTCAACATTTAGACTGTGAATGTAATTATACACAAATGGGCTCAGGTTTCGGTTTAACCAGTCAACTAGTTTAAAGGTATTTTTCTTCATATTGAATAGTTGAAATGTTGTGGCTGTACCTTCTGATTTTTAGAGAAGTGGGGGATTTGCATTGATTTGACGAAAAGGAAGGATGAGGCATGACAGTGATGTAATAGAACAAGTTCATGGTACTTAAATCAGAAACGGTTTTGCAAATTCAGTGGATCAAACAAAAGTAGAATCTAATATTAAATGCTTGTTGATAGAATGATTTTATATAGAATGGTTATTCTAATTTACCGAAACAAATACAGTAAAACTGCAGAAAAGAAGAGAGGGAGAGAGACCTGATTGACGACTTCCGTGAAATAGTTAACGATTGAGGCATTCTCAGCACCAAAATTGTTCATCAGCTTTGCGGTGATATACATCATTAACGTAATCGAAATTCCATCACCAGCTGCTCCCAAGAATCCCATAATCATCAAGAAAATATCAAAACCATCTGCATGAATGAAAATTGACCTAATAGAACTATTCTTCTTCATTATCGTTTTTAATTTCATTTTCTTATTTTCTTACTGTGACTTAAATTCAAGTTCTTCGTTACCAACTTTTGGAAAGAAGAAGAAGAAGAAAGTTTCAAGGAGAATTTCCAGTATCTCTATCTTTTGCAATGGAGAGATACTCACAGTTTTGAAATGAATTCGCTCTATGGGTATATATAGAGAAAAGTTTTCACTACCAATACATTATTACACATGAAAGCACAATGAGTCAAGAATGGAACGAAAGTATTAAAGAACATAACTTTTATTGATAACCACCAAATTTTTATAGTCAAGAAAAAGATCACGCTTCTGCAAAGTTAAAGGTTTGTCTCATAGCCAATATATAATAAATTCATGAAGTTGACAACCGCAATAGGTAAAGCACACAAATATGACTGGAATTAGTCACTCAAATTTCTTGTTATTACAATAATGATTGCTTGATTAAATATATTAACTTTAAATCCTAGTCGGGACGTGTACTTATTTATAAATATATTTAATCATCAAATTAGTCACATATATATTTAACCAATTCAATTAAAATTATTCTAAAATATTTTATAAGTGAGGTAAGGATAATATTTGGTGGTACCAATTTGTTCGAGGATTTGATGAGTCTTTGACAAATTAAAGTAAATAAAATTCAGCATAGAAATTTGAGGAAAGAAAATTATACTCAATTTCTATGATTCAGATTTTTTGTAATTATGAAATACTATAAATGAGCAATTTTTTTATATTACATTTGATACATAAAAACTAATTGTTAATACATAAATTTGAACACTCATTAAAATTTCTAGATGCATAAATATGAAAAAATTCATTTATAATAACTCTAGATTCATATAATTCAAGATCCATCAAGTGAAAATTCATTGAATCTAGATTAATGTGATTGTTAATTAATTGAGAATTAATAACACAAATTTCATAAACAACAATAATTATGCAATATTTATTACATGTCGAAAAATGAAAAGTAAGATATTATCGAAATAATTGAATTGTATGGGGGGTTAAAATCGTCCAAAAAATGATTCTTCCTTGACGTGATACTTTAATTAATTATAGATGCTTTATTCTGTAAACCGGGAATCTAGAGCCTAATGATTGTGTGATGGATTCCATGTGCAAATTTGAAGATGAATGTAATGTGTGAGTTGAAATAAAGTGAAATTTGTGACTTTCTGCTCTTTAGGATTAGTCTATTTTTCAGCTCATCTTGTGTAGTTTTATTAGATTCATATTAAATTTAAAAAGTAAAAAGAAAAGGGTGGATTGCTTAAAAAAGTTGCAAGGCATGTTGTTGGTTTTGTTGGTTTTTAGTAAGTTTTAATGAGCATAGGAGTTCAAGTATTCAAGGTATCATTCGATAATTAACTTTTGGTCTTGTTTAATTCAGTAAATTGAAATATACAATTTATATATCAGAAAGAGGGTTCCAACAATGGGAAGCAGATTCAAAAGGTGGTTGTCTAGACACTGATATGGAAAGATGCATCAATCTGAGAAAGTACTTGGTGATCACTGAAGCTAGTAATGCTTTTCTATTGCTAGATGATGAAATTGGGAGGTTTAAAAAACTAGAGTCTTTGATGAAATTCAATGTGAATTTTTGTTTTATTTACTTTAGTTTTTAGATCTGGATAACAATAACCTCTATATTTTCAAAAACTTTATTGGAAGAATAGAGTAATTTCAATTATTGAATTCTGATTGATGCATGGCCAAATTTTTGAGTTTTAAGAATTATAAAAATTTCAATTCCTCTTATCAACTTACATCTTTCGATTTAATTTGAATATTTAAGAGTTACATTGTTCCTGCACTATCTTGATGCAATATTTTCAGTCTCTAGCGTCTCTAGCAGTGCTTCAAACTGAATTTGATGATTGTTGATTGATTGCAGATGGGCTTGCCAAATTGTTTCCATCCCTATTTGAAGAACCATCAGCAATGTTGGTACTAGGTGCTTCAGGTGATACACAATTGGTTCAAGGCATGGGCAGACCCAAGGGGTGTCCTGCAGGGTCAAGTGACCCTCCAAATTTTCAAATTTACCTTTTTTTTTATAAGTTCTGTTTGTTATCTATTAAAATTTAAATTCTAATCTAAATCAATGTTAATAATTAATTTTAATAATACATTTTCATAAAATCCTTAACTTTTATTAAAATTTACTAAGAATTTGATTTTAATCCCCACCAAACAGAGGCAAATCACAATAAATTTAAATTTTGTTCTCTTACTCAATTTTACTCTGCTTCACACAGTTTACTAAAACTTACTCTTATAATAAAATGGAAAATTTTTCTACAAATTATCATATATACTACAAATTTTTACTTTTCAATTAATTAGTATCTAAATTTGCATTTTCTCCTATCCTATTTGTGTACATAGAATGTGTGTGAACTGATTATATCCAATTTAACTTATATTTAACGAATTTTATTTATTTGATTGAATATTGGTTATATATTATTCATTTCGATCACTTGAATTGATTAAAGTATTAAATACTCTATAAATTTTTTAAGCATAAATATGAATTTTCTTGTGATAAGCAAAATATTAATAAAATAATTGTTCGGAATCAAATAGACAAAAATTATGAGCAAAATATTAATGAAAAAATATTTTCAAATGTAAATCTGCATTTTCTTGGTTCAAGTATGAATCATTCAAAAATCAATAAAATATTCTATTTTTACAAAGTTTGATTGTGCCCCCCAAATAAAAATTTCTGCGTCCACCCCTGGTTCAAGGCTTGAAGATTGGAGTGACTTTGTTTGGAGGGCAATTTGCATGAGAACACTACGTTGTTTCTAGAATATTTGGTTAGGATCTCCCAATTTCACCTTTTCTACTTGCATGTTGCAATGTTTTCTTTCTAAATTTAATGGGCTTGAATTTCGTTAACAAAATGCTTTTAATGAAAAATTGCTTCTTTATTCAGTGACATCTTCTCATTCAAAACCTTAATGAAGTTGGAATTGAATCTCAATAGATTTTATTTCATCTTTCATCAATATATCTAGCAGAAACCCACTTCAGTTACACGAGTCTGTATATATTTTTGCTTGTACGGATTGTAGTTCTTCTCTTTCTCGAAATTCATTTGAAGACCAAGTAAAGACTCTTAATCCAAAAGCTTTTCTTTCTGTGTATGAGTTATTGTTTCACAATAGTAATTCTGTCAAGTTCTTTTATTTGTTTGATATTGAAATCTTATTTTACACGTGTATTTTTTGTCGTTTTGGTTGAACTTATCTATTTATGTTTCATAAAAGACTGCTTCCTTCTCATCAGATCCCACAATATGCACGGATTTCTCTTCATAAAACTATGAGGGGAATTCAAGGATTTTGTTTCATTTCTATTTCATTTAATGTACATATCTCTTGTAAATCCTTAACACACTAACTTTATCTTAAAAAAATGGCAACCCGTGCATTACACAGGCATAAAACTAGTTAGTAAATAAAAAGTTCTATACACATTGAAGGCTATGGTAAAATCACTAGTATATGTAATAGACCGCATATTTTTAACTTATGATTACAAAAATATTGTCTCGCTTCAAAATTTATAAAGACAAGTATTGTAACGATCCGTTCGTTGTGCCTAAATCGTTAACTAATTACATACTGTCTGTGTTTGGAAGAACATGTGTCCTCTTACACTTTATGAATTTCTTTTGAGTCTCTTAGGATTCGAATTCAAGGCATGTATTACGTACTAGATTGTTATACATATTTTGTACAATAATATTCTTCTTCTTATAGTAAAAAAGAAAAAATTATTGAATCCTAAGCCATCTGCATAAAATTGTAAAGAAAAAGGAGGCATCATATCTTAGATTTACAACCTACGGATGTTGATATGAGTGTTATAAACTAAAGAGAACAAAAGGAAAGGAGTAAATAAATTTGTATGTTTTAATAAGAATTAAAGCCCCATATTTATAGAGAATAATTAGGGCTACATGAGCTACAACCATCATAATGGCTAGGGTTGTAAGGAAATAAAAGTTATTCATAAACACTACTATATTTACAACACTCTCACTTGAATTACTATTTACACAATAACTATCTCATTAAAATATTATCTAGCAAAAACTTAATTGGACAAAAATGTCCACAAATAAAAAAAAGTAAAAATAATTTAGAGTAATAAAATGGTGCCTTGTTAAAACCTTGTCAAGAAAATTTAATGGGACAAAATTTGATCGAAAGAAAAAGAGTACAGATACTCCCCTGACTACAATTCTTGTATCAAGCAATCCATGTCTTGTATGTTAATTTCTTCAATATTAATATCTTTTACGTCAATCTCTTCAAGAAAATTCAGTTAGACAAACCTCAATGATTGCAATAACATGATGATTTGAAAATTAGCTCTTGTTGATCTCTACGAGAATCTCATACATATCAGAGTTATTATTTTGATGGTATATGTCTTGTAGATTATAGACTTTCATTGCACAAAGAAAATATGCATCGTTAAAATCTTATTAGGATAAACCATATGGAGAAAATCCTAATAAAGGAAAATGAATATATTTATTCTTTTAAATATGCTCCAAAAGTTGTCTCATCAAAGATCTTGTCAGGAAAACTCAATAAAAAAAAAGTACAATTAATAGACATGAAATTAATAGACATAAAAAAAAGATCTTGTCACTTAAATTATGCTTCAGTTAATCAAATCTTTCAATGAAAAATTAATAGACATGAAAGATGATTTGGCTATCGCTACTAAAAACTGCTTTTCACCAACGGATGCAAAGCAATTAGAAATGAATTATTCGTTGGTAAAAGTAATTTATTTTCAACTACGATAATCAGCAACGAATTTTTCATTGATAACGATGATATCTCTTTATCAACGAATATTCCATACCTCATGTAACCGTTTAACATTTAGATCTTTTACCTACGGATATTCCGTAAGATGACTTACTGAATATTATCAACGAATGCAATCCGTTGATAATTAAAAACGGATTATCCGTTGGTAAAAGTAATTCACTTATCCTACATCGAAAGTTCACAATAAAATCTTTAGGGTTGCCCTCTATAAATTTGTGGTCCAA